TTGGGGTGTCCCTGACCCGTGTCCCCGTGTCCCCCCAGATGCCCCCCGGGCTCATCCCTCCCTTCTCGGAGCTGGTGGCTGCGGATCCGGGGGCTCGGCCGGGCCCGGGGCCGCTCCTGGAGCGGCTGCAGCGCCCCGGAGCCTTCCTGGCCTGTGCCCTGGTGCGCACCGGGCTCTTCCTCGAGCACTTCCAGGTCTGGCCTCCTCCTCGTCCTCATCTTCAGCCTCACCTCCTCCCTGTTCCATCACCCTCATCCCCGTGTTCGTTCCTGTTCTTTCATCCTCATCCTCATTCCCGTCCCTTGATCCTTGTTGTTTCATCCCCATTCTTGTTCCCATCCCCTCATCATCATCACCCTAACCCCTGTTCCTTCCTCCCCATCATCCTCCCCATCCCTGTTCTCCATCCTCATCCTCGTTTCTCTTTCCATTCCCTGTCCTCTCACCCCCGTGCCCTGATGTTTCCCCCTGACCCCCGGTGTTTTTGGGACCCCCTGGCAGGTCCAGGACCCCTCGGAGCGCCGGACGTTCCTGCAGGAGCTGCCCCCTCTCCTGGAGTCTCTCCCGGGGCCCTTCCGGAGGCACAAGCTGCTCCCGAGGCTGCTCGAGGCCCTGGAGCTGGGCAGTGCTGATGCCAGTGCCCTGCCCCCCCTGCTGCAGGTGGGACCCCCAAAATACCCCCCATAACCTCCCTGACCCCCAAAATCCCATCTGTAACCTTCCTGCCCCCCCTGCTGCAGGTGGGACCCCCAAAATACCCCCCATAACCTCCCTGACCCCCAAAATCCCATCTGTAACCTTCCTGCCCCCCGCTGCTGCAGGTGGGACCCCCAAAATCAACCCCCAGGTAACCCCCAGGTGTCCCCCCCCTGCTCCCCCAGGTGGCGAAGGTTCTGGACCCCCCCGAGTACCAGGAGCGAATCGTCCCCGTCCTCGTCCGGCTCTTCTCGTCCCCTGAGCGGGGCCTGCGCCTGCGCCTGCTGCAGCTGGTGACTGGGAGGGGACTGGGAGGGGACTGGGAGGGAGTGGAGGGGGCAGGTATGGGACTGGAGGGACTGGGAGGGGTGCATGGATTCAGAGAAGGCTTGGGGTGGTCCATGGAGGGGGTGATCCGTGGTTTTGGGGGGTGCTCTGGGGGTCCCTGGGGGTGTTCAGGGGTCTCACAGGTCCTCCCCCCCCAGCTCGAGGAGTTCATTGAGTTCCTGCCTGAGGCCACGGTGGATTCCCAAATTTTCCCCCACGTTGCCCACGGGTTCCTCGACTCCAACCCGGCCATCCGTGAGCAGACGGTCAAGGTGAGCTCCCCAAAATCATCCAGGACCCCCCAAATCACCTGGGAACCCCCCACCCAAATTATCCAGGATCCCTCAAATCACCCGGGACCCCCCGGAAAATTATCTGGGGATCCCTCAAAACCACCTGGAGACTTCCAAAAAATCAAATAGCAACCCCGAAACCCACCTGGGACCCCCCAATCCCCTGGGTATTCCCTAAATGGGTGGGACTGAGTGGGGACCTCCCCCCCCAAATGGGTGGGACTTTTCAATCACCTGGACCCCCCCCCAAAAAATAACCTGGGAACCTCCTTCCAAAACCCCAAATGGGTTGGATCTCCCCCAAAAATCCCTATCAAGGGGTGCCCCCAGACCCCAAAATCCCATCTGGGGGCGCCCCCTGACCCCTCCTTTGTGTCCCCCCCTCCCCCCAGTCCATGGTGCTGCTGGCGCCCAAGCTGGGGGAGGGGCGCAGGGGGGGGGAGCTGCCCCGGCTGCTGCTGCGGGTGCAGGGGGGGGACGCGCTGGGACCCCTGCGCTGCAACGCCACGCTGTGCCTGGGGCGCCTGGCCCCCCACCTGCCCCCCCAGGTGAGCCT